CCCTCCCCCTCTCCCCCGCGCGGTTGCGCCCCGAGCAACCTTGGTGCAGTCCGTGCCTTATCAGCTGGGGGCACGTTCGTTTTGTACACACAGGAGGGGACTGGGCTGCCGTGGACTTGGTAATGAGGGCGACAGAGCCGTGGACGAGCCGCCGCGTGGACACGATGATGGGGGCGACGACGAGGGGGAGGAGGTGGTGGTGTGAGTGAGCGAGTCGTGTTGTGTGCTGCCCCCTGGCGGCGGCCCGCGGAGGCCCGCGCTGCTATAGGCAAGAAGCGACGGCAAGAGTCGTGCACCTTGTTTCTCCTCCTCGCCCCCGAGCCTCCTAACCGAGCCCAGCCGCAGCCAGCACGATCTAGTTGCATTACTGTCTCGCCCCGTCTCTCTCACTTGCTCGGGTCCGCTCGGGCTGCCTCTCCCACCTGCACCCCCCTCTCCCACCCCCTTCTCCCGTCTCCACCTCCCCTCACCTTTCTATCCCCCTCTCTCGCGCGCTCTCTCTCTCCCTCTATCTCGAGTTGCGCGGACAGCCCGCTTGTCAACGCACCGAGAGAGGGTCTGGATCGGTACTCGGCATTGGCTGCCGTATAGAGGCTGCGATTGCGTCACCGAGTCGCGGAAGTGCAGCAGTGCGGCGGTGCCCCCCGGTGCCCCCCGGTGCCCCTGGCCCGGCCGCCCGCGGCGTCGAGTCGTGCCCGTGCCCCCCGGCTGGACCCGACGGCGGCCGCGACCCGTCCGGCTGCCGGACCAGGACGGCACCCTCCTAGTGTGGGTCCTACACACTACATGAGGAGAGTCCCCATGACCACTCCCTCCCTCCCCCTGTAGTCGTCGTGCCCTCCCCGCCCCGCCGCGTGCAGCATAGCGGGCCCCCATGGATTGGCGCGGCGGCCGGCGGCCCGACCGGGCCCGCGGCTCGCCGTGGGAAAGGATTGGAGTGGTTTCCGGACGGCGCGGCGCCACCGCCTTGTAGCTATTTCAGGATGGCTGGCTGTCGCTGTTGCGCTCGGCGCTGTGTGGCTGCATGGCACTGCATGGCACTGCATGGCTTTGACCGGCACTACGACGGCGGCCCTGCAGGCAGGTGGCTATGTACCCCTCCAGGAACTGGTGCCCGTAGACCGTAGTGTAGCGTGTAGCTCCTTTAGGGCAGTCCCTTTCGGGCAGTCCCTTTCGGGCAGCCCCTTTCGGGCAGCCCCTTTCGGGCAGCCCCTTTCGGGCAGCCCCTTTCGGGTAGGCCCTTTCGGGCAGCCCCTTTCGGGCAGCCCCTTTCGGGCAGCCCCTTTCGGGCAGCCCCTTTCGGGCAGCTCCTTTCGGTCAGCCCCTTTCGGTCAGCCCCTTTTGGGCATCCCCTTTCGGGCAGTCCCCCTTGGCAAGCTCCTTTCGGGCGTTCGTGCACAGCGCCAGCAGTGCGGTACCTCGAGCCCATAGGCACCCCGCCCGCACGCGTGGCGCGCGGTACAGTCTACCTCCCCCGGCGGCGTGCTGCCCGTGGCAGTGCCAGAGCCGGTGGTGGTCCTCGCGAAAGCACCACCACGGCTGGCCGGGCCTTTAGCCCGGGCCTTTAGTCCGGGCCGGCTGCCGTGCCCCGACGGGCGAAAGAGAGTGA